CACACCTTTTTCTCTCCAGCCACTTCGATTATATAGGCCTTCTCTGAATAAATCCGTTGGATCCTTCTTCTCATTTAAATCAATGTTGATCCTTGCCTAGTTGTATTTTGAATTGCTTTCCATCTTGGAGAGCTGCCTTTAATATCTTTACAACCAAAATTATTGCTCCCAAGATATTTTTAGAGCACTTAACATGATTAAGTATTCAACGTTTTATTCCAAGAAGTCAACAACCCACTCAAAAAAAGATTATTTCAAATTTCAATAATCAGGGAAAGCAAATAAGCAATTCAACTTGTATGGTAAGTAAATATACGGCCACCTTTCCATAAAGTAAGATCAAATGCTACATTAATATAAAAGATACTTTCCAAAAGTTATATGTCTAATCATGCAAATATGTACTAAAATATTTATCTCAATATTTTACTTAGAAAAGCTACGGTCAACTTTTAATAAGGATAGAAGGATACCCACTTAGCATAGATAAGCATTCAATTAACACGTAGGGATTCTTTCCATGGATAAAGCTAGATAGGACCAACTTTTAAAAAGCATGCAATCATGGCAAGTGGAGATTCTCTTCATAAAGCATTAGTCAATATAAGCCAACTCAATAAAGTGAATATTTAATTATGCATGGAAAGAAATTCAAATGACTTATGCACCGTACTTCTAAGATGGTCATGCATTAAAAATATTCTTGCTTTATTATGATAATCTTTACTAAAAAGTAAGTGGCCTATTCAATTAATTCCAAGTGGTGATCACATAATAAAAGGTATTATCAATTATCACATACACCCTTACAAAGAAAGCATATTAATTGATAATCAAATAAATTCTATCATATTAATTCAAACCATTCCACGGAGATAGAAATGGTTCAATATTAGTTCCACCTGCAGGGTTAGTCAACAACACACTAATAGTGTCAATTTGGACCTGAGGATAGTTCTGTCCGCCGTTCCACCTGCATGGTTAGTTATCAACAAAACATATATGTCTGTTGTAGGATAGTTCCGGGTTCAGGTCTACGGCTTGTTCCAAAGCACGACTCATCTTCCTTTCCTGCCATCACTTATAGACCAAAAGTAACACTACTTGTTTGTCATCAACAAAACAATATGTTCCAACAGTCATCTATTACGTAGTACGTAGCAAGTTATTATCATACGCAATTGTTTGAGTGAAAGTGCAGAAGAACTTCTGAGTCTCAAATTTACTTGTAGAAGCAGTTTTTTAGAAGTTGGGGAAAACCAGCTTCTGAAAATTGATTCTGATAATGTTTTTGTTTTTAGAAAAGAAGCGGAAGCAGAATCAGATCCAAACACCCCCTTTGTATACGATTCTGGGTGTACATAAAATTTGTATACACTTGTCACACATTTGAACGTAATTATCTGCCTACATACACAAATAATGTTGTACGAGTTAGCTGTGTACACAAGTAACTAGAGGGTGTGCACAATATCTATGTGTGCATATAATTACACACAAATGTATGTCAAGTGTATAAAAATTTTGTGTACAGATGTACTTCTTTTGCATAAACTATTAGAAAGAAACATTATTGTGTTGAATATAAAGCGTAATACGTAGTACTGTATTATTTAAACCATATGTCTAAAACAATATTGTTTTGAGTTCGAGTATATTTAAATATCGCTTTGAGCTCGAGTATATTTAAATAGAAGTGGTACCCTCTATTTTAGAACTCGCTAGGCCCTAGCCGGGCAATTGAAGGGCGTCCAACACTTAGGCACCGATTAGGCGCTGACTAGACCAATTTTTTTACCGGCTAGACTGATTAGTCCTTCACAGTCCGGGGCCGCCTAGTGCCTAGGCGCTGATTAATCAGGCCGACTAAATCTATTTCTAGAACAATGATGTTACCAAACGAGCTCTAATTGAAGTTCCCATTTAAATTTATGATGCATCATTGAGGATAAATTTACTCTTCTCTAGCATGCATGGAGTAATATTTACTCTTCTCTGACCACCGTCATCTCTTTTTCAAGCTAGTGTGCACCACCTAAAATATTTTTTGAACTTTCAGTTTGTTATTACATTTTAACTAGCAAATTCTTTTCACTCGTGTAATTAATTAATTACATTGTATTTTGTAATGCATAAAGAATTCTCTAAACTCTCCAATTGTAACACAATTTTTTATCACCTAAATCATCTATAATTAACTTCATTCTCTTCTACTATTACTCATTACTTTTATATATTATTACTTATGAAGTTAGTGTATTAAATTAATAGTGTAGAACGGCTTCTTTTTCCAAAAACATGTATGGGAGGGCTTCTGGCTGAGTTTAATAGGCTGAGTCGAGATGAGTCATGACGTGTCGGGCCAATGGGTTGGGCCAGGTTTCACATACTCTACCCCATGCCCACCCTTCAATAGTGGACTGGGTTGGGCTAGGCTGGGCTTTTTGGAAAATGTGATGGGTAGGCCCCCACAGGCTCATTAGTCATGAGCCCACAGGCTAAATGATGATCCCTATCTGCTTCTACTTCTGATTTTGCTTCTGCTTCTGTTGGAAAACACTCTCAAATCTGCTTCTACTTCCTGGAAGAGCATAAAGCAGATGTGGGAGTGTTTGGATAAAAGTGCAAAAGTGCTTCTGAATGCTCAAAATTTGACTATGTAATTAATATGATGTTAAAACGAATAATCCAAGATTTTAATCAATATATTGTTTACTAGCTCAAATTTACAAGTGTGAGACAAATTGAGTTTTTACATGTGTTCCTTTTTAGTTGCTTACATGTAGAATTTTTGCACTATTCACATGCTCTATTGTGATAATATTTTATTTATTTATATATAAAAAATTGAGTTTTGAAAAAGTTTTAAATTTCCTATCTTTTTACATTTCATAATTTATATTTTTTAATTTTTTCAGTAATAGCGAATTAAATATATTAAAGATCAAACTTGTGTGTTGACAAATGTGAAAAATGGAGACATTGCAACTAGAAAGAACGAAAGAAGTATAATTTTGTAATGTTCCCCGGCAAAAAAAAGTATAATTTTTGTAATGATAATCATACCCAGAAAAGTTAAACTTTTTAATTTTTTCACTAATAGAGAATTAAATATATTAAAGATCAAACTTCTGTGTTGATACATGCGAGTATTTAAATGACAAGGTAGTAGGTCGGGAGATGATGTCACGAGTCCTGAGTGGCAAACTCCAACCATAAATCTCTCATATCTGATGCATTAAATGCGTTTCCTGTCAATCCAAACTTCTCGTCAAATCCCTGATAAGACAGACCAACAACGTGAAAGCTGTAGGCCAGAGTTCCAATTGTTGCATCCCTAGCCCGTCTGGGGCAAGCCGTTCGAGACAGGTATCTGGGCCGAGGCTATCCGGGTTCCCCGCGCGAATGTTGTGCTCATAATGCAGTTTGGGCCGCTAGTAGTATTTGGGCTTTCTCGTCATTGGGATAAACACCCAGTAGTACGTTATCATGATAGTGCTATATTGATGAAAAAACATCTATTTTTATTCACATTTTGCCGAAATATTGTTGTGGCCAGGCAACAATTTGTTGTTGAAAATCTACTGGTTTAGGTGCTATCATGTTTGGTTAGTCATACTATTAAAAAACAAACATTGTGTTTTAATGTCATAGATGGTAATTGGCGTGGACCAATTATTTGAGAAACACCTGGGTGGAGTGATGGCGTGGACCAACTATTCTGAAGGTGCAATATTCGTTGGACCGATTGGTTTGGGGTTTGAACAATTGGACAAGGCTCGAGAAATTTTGTATACCACGCTCGTTTAAAAAATGCGGAAATTGCCCAAAATAGGACTAAAACAATTAGTAAATTCTTAAATAGGAGCTTATGTGTTTTATTCCCTTAATAGGAGCATATCAGTCCTATTAGGAAACATACGGATATTTACATTCCAAATTTGCCCCTGCCTTTTTACACCGACTCTAACCGTTTTTCTTTCTTTTGTCAATGAATTTTGCTCACTCCCTCATCTTCGTCTCTTTCGTTGATTCTTTCAATATTTTTCCTTCATACGAATAGCTCTGTAAATCGACGGACTCCCTTCAGGTTTACTGCTTCCAAGTTAAGGACAATTATCCTTCCTTCGCTTAACGTCCTGCGATCAATTACGGTAAAACTCACTTAAATTGGATTTCCGTTTGTTAATCACCTGAATCGGAGCTTTGCCAATGAATTTTACAATCATTGATGTTTGCAATCATAGATAATATTGTTGTTACTTTTTATCTATTTGTTATTTTTCACTTTAACATTACTTCCCTTCGTTTCTTAATCAATATCCACAGTTTTGTGTAAAAAGGGAATTACTTACTGAATATTAACAACATCAATTGTTCAGACGTGCGTCTGACATTAATTTTTTATTTGTGTTGTATCTCGTTTGTGTTAATTGCACCACCATATATATGGCAGTTTCCTTTAAACGAATTCCGGTTCTGCTATTTTGTATTTATATTGTGGAAATTTTATTATTTTGTATTTTTTTGTATGTGTAGTTATCCACATGGATTCAGTTGTATTGATCATGCTGCATTTGGATGGTAGCTGGGATATTGATTACAATTTCAATAGTAAAGACAAATTTGCTATGCATTTTAGCTCTTCTGCAACATTCAGGGATTTTGTGTCTGAACTTTCTTCCATTTTAAGTAAATACAAACCAAATACCCCCTTCAAATTGTCTTATATGGTTGATCTATGTCCACCACCTGTTTGTATTGATGATGAGGATAGCTTTCGTTTCTTCCTTGACCTTAAGCTTCTCCAAACAGAATTTCAAAAATTTCCTTTATGTGTGGAATTTTCAAATGATTTTTTTTATCCACTCACCCCTTCTGTACCACACATCGATACGTTCGACATTCCTGTTTCATCGCACGTAGACAGTTATGATATCCACCATTCTTTTCATATCAACAACTCTGAAGGTGGTCATTCTTCCAATTGTGATGAGCATGAACAAACTACAGAAACAAGCATACCTATACCTCCCAGTGCAGGCAATGATACTTTATGCCCCAGTCTCTCTTCTCAAGCTATATGTTCTCACTCACCTCCTTCTCATTCACCTTCTTCTAACGTGTTTTCTATTCATCACAATTTGGAAGTCATCACTCATTATCATCCCACTCAGATAACGGTCGATGCTATTTACAAATCTAAGGCAGATCTCATCCACCATTTAAAGTTGTACGCCATAGATAATGGTTTTCAATACCAAACACTCACATCAAAGAAGACTTGTTTGCACGTTATCTGCGTGTTCGAAAAATGTAAATGGGCTGTGAGGGCTGTTCTACGTGGCGTCCAAATGTTTCAAATCAGAAGGTATTGTTCCATCCATGTTTTGGTTATGTTATTATGCCACAGTGCTGACAGATTTGCCAAAAACTTGGCATTTTATTGATTCTCTCTCTTATGTTTGGTACAGGTTTGATTCAACCCACACATGCCCGGTTGATTTTAGGCAAGGAAAGCATCGCCAAGCTACATATCGCACTGTAGCAGAACTCGTTTCTCATAAGTTCTTGGATGCTTCTAGAAAACCATATGCACCTAACCAAATACGGGATGACATGAGCTTCATGCACGGCATTTCCATGTCATACAAAAAGGCCTGGAAAGCTCAAAAGATCGCAATGCAAAAACAATTTGGATCAGATTCTGAGTCCTATCAAATTTTACCATCAATGGCGTATATGCTAGCTGACGCAAATCCAAATTCTGTTATTTCTCTTGTAACAGACGATGATGATGTGTTTCGCTATTTTTTCATGTCCCTTGCACCTTGGAGGCAGGCATGGCTGTTTTGCAGGCCTATTCTAATTTTAGACGGATCATTTTTGAAGGCGTATTACAAAGGAACACTGCTCACAGCTTGTGCACAAGATGCGAACGACCACATTGTCCCATTGGCCTTTGGAGTTTGTGATTCTGAGTCTAAAGCGTCTTGGCTTTGGTTTCTTTCGAAAGTGTCTGAATCACTGACATTTAGGGACGATTTGTACATACTATCTGACAGGAATGAAGGTCTACTCAGTGCTGCTAAAGAAATTTTCCCACATGCTAGCCATGGCTATTGTGTGGAGCATCTTCGTCGTAATATGGTCTCAAAATTTAAAGGGTCTGCTGTTGATTTAGGTTGGAAATTTAAGGCTGCCTATAAGGCTGCAACACTCAAGGAGTTTGAAGAGTACATGTGTTTGCTAGATTCTCAAGATGTTCGTATACGCCCTTGGCTTGAAAAAGTTGGGACTCACAAGTGGGCAAAGTGTATGTGTGGTCCTAGCCGATATGATGTCATGACCTCAAATTGCGCAGAATCAATGAACAATGTCAATGCTGCTGCGAGGGAGTATTGTATTGCCAAGCTTCTTGATTTCATTAGGGAAAGAATGCAACAATGGTTTGTTAAGAGAAAGGAAAAGGCTGAAAAGACCCAAACTATTTTGACAAATAAGCATGAGAAACATCTGGTTGCTCTTCAAAGCCAAGCTGCAAAGTTGAAGGTTGGTTATGAACTATTTTTTGTGTCAAAATTAATTGCAGTACAGTCATCTCATATATCATTTTCCCTCAAGACTTCCAACTTCTTGGCAGTTCATTTAAGTGGACATGTCACATGTGCATAATAATCAACATTCATTTAATTACATCCATTCTTCACATACACTTTATTTACGCTTATTCATCACATTTCAGGTCAAGCCGGCATCATATTTTGAGTTTGAAGTTGTTGATAGGCATTGTAGATCGTTTGTTGTCGACCTTCAGGCTCGAACATGCACATGCGCAGAGTTTCAACTCAATCACTTTGTCTGTGTCCATGGGGTTGCTGCTATTGGTATCTGCCCTCGTGTATCTTGTTACGATTATATTTCCCCTTATTACACACGAGATTACTGGCTTTCTACATGGACTGGTGTTATGCACCCTATTCGTGACAGAGAATCTTGGTTGGTGCCTTCTCATATATCAAGCATTCGTTGTAAGCCCCCATCCTGTTCAAAAAGACCACCTGGTCGTCCCAGGAAGTCAAGAATACCTTCCATTGGTGAGCATCGTGGGACGAAACGCTCAAAATGTTCTCGGTGCCATACACTCGGTCATAATAAGAAGACATGCCGCAATCCTATTCCAGCAACGTCTCATTAGTGATGCTTTTATATTTACTTGTTTGTATTCCTATTTTGGATCATAGAAGATATATGAACTTGTTGTCTTTAGAACATATTATGATATATCCATTCTGAAACATGTCCTTTTCGTTTAATGCAAAAGTATTTGCATTAGTTTAGCACTGTCCGTTGTTGAACTATTTGTTAAACCATCTATTCTGGAACATATCCATTCTGTATATTTTAATCCCAGCAATGCAATATCCTCCTTCTTATGTAGTTATTTTTCCTTCTTTGTGGCATTTTATATTTCCTAGTATGCAATTTTCCCTAAACATAGCCCACACAATATCTTTTTTCATCATTTTTTCATTTTTAAATTCACCTATCCTAATCCTAACCAATAAATTTACTATTTTCAGCATTTTCTTTCTTTCAACAAACATTTTTTTTGCATCCTTTCCCTAATTTTTCTATATTTACATGTCGTATTCAAGAATGTGGCTTATTTGTGATTATAAACAGTACTCACCAAAAATTACAACAGTCTTTTCTGCCATCATGTGCCCACCTTCATCATTTCCATTCATTATTTTTCCATCTTATTGGCATTTTAATATTTCATAGTCTTCAATTTTTCCCTCAACATAACCCACAAAATATTTTTCACATCATTATTTTTCAATCTTACTGCATTTTTATAATCACTTGTTAGCTTTTTTCCTAATACTAACCAATAAAATTAGTATTTTTTCCTAATACTAACCAAGAAAATTAGTATTTTCAGCCTTTTTGCTTTCTTTCATCAAACCTTTTTTTGCATTATTTCCCGACTTTTTCTATATTTGCATGCCAACATTCTTGAATGAGGCTTATTTATGATTATACACAGTAACCTTTTCTACCACGGAACTTCTGTCATGATGTGCCTCTTACCTACATTTTTATTCATTATATTTCCATCTTATTGGCATTTTTATAGTTCATAGTATGCATTTTTTCCTGAACATAACACACATAAGAATTAGTATTCAGTAACTCTAAGACGCCCTTTTTCACTAGCACAAAATGAACATACAAATCGTGCATTTTCATAGCACCAATTATCTTTTGAGTAGCATGCATGACAACACCTTGGCCATATGTAAGGTCTCAAAACAGTGTATCTATCAAACAAAAATAAAATTCAACAAAAAAAAAAAACCGATAACATTTGTTGGTACATATCAGACCATATCAAAACAAGTACAAAATATATGATTTCAGGTATTCTTCATCACTTTTCCTTCCTCTGTCCTCCTTTTGTTATACAGTATCAGCTCCGTTGCCATCTTTGCTCTATACATAGCCATGTCTTTTGCCTGAATTTCTGTTATATCCATGCCCATCATTAGAAACTCCGCCATTTTCAGAACGAACATACCACAATTGCCCCTGTAATAATAAAACACCCAACAAATAATCACAAATTTATTATACTATCAACAAACTTATTATACTATATCACAAATAATCACAGAGTTGATTATTGTTTTACCCATCATCTTGTTGAGGGCAGTTTTCAACACCCTCCACCTCCAACTTCCTGACACCCATATTTTCTTCCCCTTTATCTTCAAACACTCCATGGACATCCATTATTTTTGGCAGCAATGATTGTATGCTTGGCACAAATGGTCTGATTTCCCGCAGGCATTCACCCCTTCGGCAATTTGAGTTATAAACCCGCACTTTCCTATTTTCCAAATCTAGCACAACCAATATCCAGTGTTGTCCAGTGTTTACAGGTAAGTAAACATGCTCTGCTTCTGCCCAGCTCACTGCGTAGATTGATGAAATGCCAAGAATATCATTTTCAATCACCGACTTCGCAGCAGCCTTTTCAACACTACTAATTCCTTTCTGAATATCATCGTATTCTCGCCTTAGTATTTGCATGAAAAAAGGCCCGCTTGTGCTGTAACGGTGACTAACCTTGTACTGCATCTGCTTCATGCTCAAGTAGAACATTCCGACTTCTAGATGCTATAATCAAGAAAATATAATTAAAGTAAGAGTCACTACAGGTCAATTATAAAACTCAAATATTCTGAAATTAAACATACCTCATCGTTCAACCATTCGGGGTTGACAAACAGTTTATAGAACCATGTCTTTGATTCTATTTTTACCATATCCAATAAAAATGGTACACCTTTCATGTTCTCCTCTTCAGACCGGTACCTTATATCACCTATTGTCTTCTTCAATCGCTTTAGTAGACCAGTGCTTAAATATTCTGCCACCTTTTGCATTTCTTCTTGAGGTGGAAGTTCAGTTGGATTCTCAGCAAAGGGACCATATTTTGTTCGTGGGAAAAAGCAGCCTTCTTCATTTCTTTTTGCAATTTGTTTTCTCTTTTTCTTTGTTGCCCTCCCTAGTTCTGCTGGTGTGTATCGGTCAGGTGATCGTGCTTTCCTCTTTGGTCTTCCAACAACTTTCACTTTTTCATTATCCTATTCCAAATACATGAAAAACTTAATTATACCCTAAATTGTTGAATTAGTGATTACCAGTTGCTTATTACACCTACATAAAATCAAAAAATTGCAGACCATTATTCTTTGAACTCACCCTTGCATTTGTTGTTTTTTCTCCTCCATTTGTTTTGTTCTTATCCTTTGTCTTTGCTTCGGCTACCCGTCTTTCTTCCTGACATGGTGTTTTCTCTTCACCCTGCATTTATGGTATGTGTTAGCTACACTACATCATATTTAAAGTGTTTTAAAACTTACCTTTTTTGTAGTCTCCGATGTGAGTGCATCTGTGGATGCACTCCCTAAAACACGTCTTTCCACAGTATCAGCACTTTTGATCAATTCTTTCACGAATTGTGTGTCTTCTTCTCCCCAGAATTCTTTCTCTTTTCCTTCTTCAGCCCCTTCACTGTCAATGTCATCAGCCTCTTTGTGTTCACATTCTGCCATCTTTTCTTCCTCATTACCACTTTTACTTCCATATTTCTTTTCTGTCTCTTTATCGTTCTCTTCAACTTCTTTGTTATCATTCACACCCGTTTCAACTGAATCCTCTGTTCTGAATTCACGCATTTTTTCTTGTGTCTCTGGTCCAAATATATTAAAGTCAGGCATAGAATGTTCTGAATAATTTTCCCCGCTACCCCCACCATCGCCTTCTGCATTTTCCATTGCCTGCTTCGATTGTGATGCCACATGTTCATTTTTCTCTGCTTCCATGCTTTCCCCAGTTTTTGCATCTTTCACTTCACCTTGTGTGCCTTTTATCACTGCATTCACTAACTTTTTCAAGAGCGTGTCGTGTGTCTTCAGTTTCTTTGTTAGTGCTCTTATTTCTTCAATAATTTTGGCATTTTGCTTACCAATTTTCTTCACTTGCCTTAACATAACATTTTTCTGCCTCTGGTCTCCAAATCCAACTCCCTTAGCTTCTTTTTCTTCAACATGATCATCTTCAACTACTTCTTCCATTTCCTTCACACAATCCACCCTTTCTCCCACTGTACTACCACCACTCTGCCCATTTCCTTCACACATTGGAAACTTTTCAATTTCCTCTTCCGTAGGCAACAATGTTGACCATTCAAACTGCAACAAAAAACACTTTCAAATATTAGTATTTTAAATTGTACATGGCATTCATTTTTATGTTAAATAATTTTAACCTTTTCATTGTTGAAGATAATTTGGCTGAAAGTATCCAGGCTTGGCTTTTTTGTAAACGACCATTTAAGTGCCCTAGGTATGCTCCCTCTTCTATCATCAATGACATTGCAAATACCATTCTTTTCGAGACCAGGGAAAGTTTCAAATGCCCAGATTTGGAGTGCAAATAAACAGCCTGGCAGTGTTACACGTGTCCCTTTGCAATTTTCCAAACTCTCAACATTGTCACTCATGTTAGTCACTAATTCCTGCCACACGTCATCTCCCCACGGATATTCATTAAAAACAGTCAAATCATCCACCATATGAACATACTGGCTTGGTAACTCTCTGGCGACCTGATTCCCGAACAATCCATGTGACAGAACATGGAGTAGAGCAAGTTTTACGCCGTCATATCTCTCAGTCCCATGATCCTTGTTATTGTATTTCATCAATGCATTTAGAACATCCATTCGTTTCACACTTGTTGCACCTCCAAAGTATTTCTTCTGTAGGTGCCCACTCACGTTATCTTGTATCTTTGGCTTCACACCACCCATTTTTAACCCTAGCAACAAGCACAAATCCCTCTTCCAGAAGCTTATCAGACTGTTCTGTATATGGAATCGGATGACATCCTTCTCCTTCATTTGGTTCACAAATTTCACATAATTGCATAGTAAACCCAACTGCATCTGCCCACTTATGGTTTTCATTGGAAGTATGTTGACTACCCATCCGAACACTGTTGCTTTGAAATCCTCCAGTTCTGTCGTCGACAATTGCTTCATGATCCTCTTAGCCACTTCAGTTAGATTACAATAACAATTTATCCGCATGCTTTCCAAGTTGTCCAGTTCTTCCTTCCCAAATGCTCGTTTTATAACCTGTATTTCACCAAATCAAATTTGTGATTATTCAGAATACATTACTTAAATATCTGAAAAGTAACACAACATGTAAATTAGCTCACCTATTACATACAGTACTATGTATGTATTTTTTCTGCCACATTTCTCCCTCTTTGGTTGTCTATTATTCATGATTTCGTTCGAATGTTCAATTGCTATCTCCAGCACTCTTGTTTCCACAATTTTTCCATACTTCTCCCAATCCTAGCATCTATATTCCTAATATTTGGCAGTTAATTATTCCAAGTCCATATTCTATAATTATTCCAATTCGAGCACCTATATTCTTCCAACTCTAGCAATTTTTTCTGCCACATTTCTCCCTCTTTGGTTGTCTATTACTCATGATTTCTTTCAAATGTTCAATTGCTATCTCCAGCACTCTTGTTTCCACAATTTTTCCATACTTCTCTCAATCCTAGCATCTATATTCCTAATATTTGGCAGTTAATTATTCCAAGTCCATATTCTATAATTATTCCAATTCGAGCACCTATATTCTTCCAACTCTAGCAATTTTTTCTGCCACATTTCTCCCTCTTTGGTTGTCTATTATTCATGATTTCTTTCAAATGTTCAATTGCTATCTCCAGCACTCTTGTTTCCACAATTTTTCCATACTTCTCCCAATCCTAGCATCTATATTCCTAATATTTGGCAGTTAATTATTCCAAGTCCATATTCTATAATTATTCCAATTCGA